TATATTCATTAATCTTTATTGTATTATTATATACATAAATGTTGCTAGATGAAATGACATATTGAAATAACCATTCATACAGTATTGTTTTTGATTCACATCGTTATCTGAAATTCTTATTACTATAAAACTCTGCATTTTATTACTCAGTGTATAAATCAAAAATACTTCAACTAGAAGATACTGTGTAAAAAGGTGGGAATTTTAAACTGATCTTTAGGCAGAGGTTCAATTTTATTAGATATTAGTAGTTTTGCAAGTTTAATTTATAATCAAGTATAAGTTAGAATTTTACGCGGTGCTATTAAAATATATTCAGATTAGTGTATATATATATTTGTTACATTGTAAATTATTGTATAAGTGCACAATACCTACCAAAATAGTAGACCTACCGTGAATCAGGCTGGTACTAAAGTATAGATAAAAATTTTGATAAAATGAAACTGATCTGGATATAGTATAAAAAACAATAATTAAAAGACTTAGATAATTTATAATATTAGAACATAATATATATTATAAAAACCTTCTAATTATCAAACCAATGTCTATACAATAGGAATGTGCTAAACACTTTAAATTCCACGTGATAAAAATTTGATTTGTACCCCCGGATATATTATGTACATAGATGATATCTTGTTATAAGGATTTAGAAAAAAACAAATCATATGGACCAATATGTACCTCTATGCAAGAACTTTTTGATAATAGATTATTTGACAATACAATTATCTAACAGACAGCTCATTAGACAATTAACTATATCATGTTTGAGACAGAAGGTTTATTTTTAATACTATACAACAATGACAAATGGTATGTTTTAGTAGGTTCAAGCTAATAAGTAGACAAGAATCTAACGGGTTTTGAGAGAATCTAATAGGTTTGATGCATATTAATTAAATTCTTCATGCATAATAGTATAGAATGAACCTTAAATAAATCACAACAATCACTTTAATCATTTGTCAGACCAATCAAAAAAAATTAAAAGTGACTATTAAAGGCCCAATATACACCAATTGTATTATTATTAAATCTGCTACAGATCACAGAGTATCTTATACAGCATTTTACGGTACCAAACCCGGGTCATGTATACGCACTTTTACGATGCATTAAAATTTATTATTGTAAATTTACAACCCCTTAAAAGTAGTGATTACTATTAATTAATAATAAAAAAAAAAAACTATAGCGATAGATATCAGTGCCATTATTTTATTTATACATACATAGGTTATTTCAACTCTGTTGCATTGTTAAGTATATGTATATATACATATAATGAAATTTAAGGCCTTTTAAACCTAATATGGTTTTATATCAATAAATGCGGAGGCATATACATACAATTTTTAATCTTATAAATTTAATAATAAGAAATCTAATGTATTTATTATAGTGAGAATTTTAAAAACAATCGTATATTTTATTTTTTTTCTGCTGCTATTGTTAAATCATTTTGCTTAAAATTCCTATTTTTTTTTTCATCGTCTTAAAAAAAAAATGCCAAAAGCATCTAAGAATAAAAGCGTAGTAAGATTTCAATTATACTGAAATAATAAAAATCAGGAATTAACACTATTTCAAAGAGCAATAATTCTTACTCTTGTTGAAAATGAATGTTCTCAATGTTAAGTTGCATGGACAATGGGAATTTCTCCCTCAACAGTATCTAAAATCGTGAAAAAGTTTAAAGAAATAGGCAAAATTGATGATTTGCCAAGGTCGGGTCGTCCTAAAATTTTTTCTTCTGATGAAGAAAAATTAATATATGAAATGATTATCCTTGGACAATGTGAAACAGCAGTTGATGTGTATGCAAAGTTTTGTTGCAAAACAAATAAAGAGATGTTAGTCGAAACAATACGAAACATTCTTCGAAGAAATGGATATGTTTCTAGAGTTAAAAAAAGACGTTCTGCTCTTACTGATCAACATAAAATAGAATGTTTAAAATTTGCAACAAAATATAAAGACTGGACCGTTGATAATTGAAAAAAGGTTATTTTTTCTGATGAAAGCAGGTTTTTACTTTTTGGTGCTTTTAAAGGACGTCAGTATTACTGGCGAAAAAAAGATGACATATTGGCTGATGAGTATATAATTCTGACAAAAAAGTTTGGTGGTAGCAGTATTATGGTATAGGATTGTATGACCTCAAAAGGTGGTCATATTGAATTAGTTGAAAGAACTTTAAATTTGGCAGAATATATTAATATTCTCAAAGATTGTCTATTAAATGTGCTGGAATCATGTGAACATGATGAGGACGAAATGATTTTTCAGTATGATAATGCTAAAATACACACATTAATTGCAACAAAAGCATGGCTTAAGGATAATAATATAACTGTTCTAGAATGACTCTCCTACTTTCCTGATTTAAATCTAATTGAACATTTATGGAGCGAAATAAAAAGGAAATTAAAAGGAGAATATTTTGATAGAACCAAAAAGATCAAGTTATGGAACAGAATAGTCTAAATATGGGAAGGCATAAGCATCGATGTAATTACAAATTTGTACAAATCGATGCCAGCAAGAATTGCAGCCGTAATAGAGGCTAAGGGTGGTTATATAAAATATTAAGAAATTACATATCGATATACATATATGTTGTATATGTAGAACTTGGGCCTGATCTTGTGTTACCAAAACTACATATATATAAAAAGCATTAGCATGGATACTTGGGCATAAAAGCATTAGCATGGATACTTAGATATAAAAGCATTAACATAGGCTTCGAACACTCCTCTTCCTCTTCTTCTACCCTGAACTTTTATTCTATAAATTAACTTATAGAGTTTCGCTATTTCTAGTTATGCTCCAGATAATAATACTAAATTTGGGCCTAGAGGAGGCAAAAAAATTGGCCGAAGCACTTAGTGAAAACACAACACTCACAATTTGCATTTGCCTTTATATATACATTTATTCTCAATTTCTTCTAGTTAACAGTCTAGTTGTTTTCATATTTGTTTTTAATTTGAGTAAACTTTGATAACTATAATTAAAAAAAATATACAATTTTATGATTAAAAATAAAATTACGAAGTTATATTATCAATAGTAAAAGAACATTTATGCTTGAATTATAAGTATTGTATATCATATTTTTCTTTATTGTACATTAGCCTAACTTGTGAATAGAGATATTTTAATATTTTTTAGGACATAAATCAACTTCACTAACAAATCTTAGCTCAATTTAGTTCGGGTTGGGCTTTATGGTTAGTATTGGCTAGAGATTGTTGGTGAAGTGACTGTTAACAAAATGGTTGACTACATTTCTTTTCAACTGTGAATTCCTGAACTGTGATTTTATATATTTCGATAGTAAATTAGTAAGTCTATAGTTATTATATTCTCTTTCTAGAATTTCTGTATATTCGTTATGATCTAATTGAAGTGTTTTGTTAAATTATACAATTTTGTATGATTATATTCAGAAGTATGACTACACATATTTTGATAGGTTGAATTATCCAGTTTTGATCAACTTATCAACAGCTTAGTTTACCAAACTAATTTTACCAACACTTATTTCATGACACGTTCATTTTAGTTATAGTTCACTTCACTAATGCTCTTTTCACAGACAAAGTAATTCTAGCCTAGCACCCATAGTCAACCTGTGAATACAAGTAAAAAATCAAGATTCTAATTATAATTTATTGAAAAAGGTTAATAAAGGTTCTTAATATATCCATACAGTATCTTTAAAAATTTGATTTAAAAATTTGCTAAAATTTAACATCTAATTTTCAGAACTGATAAGCCTTCTAAAATTTTTTCAATTACTGCTTTGAAAGTATTCAACCATATATACATATATACATAATTTCTGTGACATCTTATAAAAAATTAACCAAATGTTATTCCACCGAATTGATAAGTTATTGATCAATGTAATGCTTATTATTTACAATGATAGTCTAAATCCAGGCACATACGTATATGCATAGATGCTAATCGATTTGCAAATTAAAACTCGCTTGAAACTACAAGGCTTTAAATGACCTCTATTAATGATGCAGTGATAATTATTAGTCGATCATAGCCAAATAACTAATATTGATATAACTCTAGTTAAGTTAGTAAAGTATAATACTTACGAAGCCTATTCGCTGAAAAGTAGTCGAAAAAAATTTAGAAGGTTATTAATGCAGTCTTCAATAAATTGAGTTTTTAACCAATTTCTATAGATGTGTTAAAAGACTTTCGTCATTTGTAAGAAAATTACGTCTAAATTTTATTAAATCTGAATAGTATAGAATATTATAAGCTTTAATAAAAGAAAAGCCTACTATCTGAGTTACAATCAGAAATGAATTTTAGTTAGAATGTGAAAGTAGGGATCGTTTAAACCCTTGTAGTTTCACATGAGTTTAATTTGCAAATTGATTAGCACTATCACAATTTTCTAAGAAAATTGTGACTGAGTAATGTACAGGTTGTAATGAAAATGTGTATAAGCCTTAAGTCACACGAGTGTAATAGGGCTAAATAGATGACTAAGGCTTGGATTATTAAAAGATATAATATTTAATAATTCGTCATTTTATTTATTTTATATCTGAAGATTCTTACTTGTTTATTAAGGCATAATAACTAGATGTGAGCCAAAGCTTAGAAAAAAGTTAGAAGAAAGTAAGGCGGAGTGATTAGAACATATAAAAGCTTAGTTAGTAGAATAAAAAATAAGTAAAGAAAGTATATAAATAGTAGGATGCTTAGCAAATATATAGTTTTAGTCAAAGGAACTAAGAATAACTTGTACAAGCCTTACTTATTAAAACCAAAAAGTATAAAAGAGCTGGTTTTTGTTTTTTGAATAAAGCTTTAGACTTCAATGTCTTTAATATAGGAGTATTAAGAATTGATTTTTCAATTGTTGTTACAAGTTTATTATTATATTGTTGTATTTATTGTTATTTTCTTATTTAACTATTAAGATTTTTAATAATCATATTATACATTTTTATTATTACTCTTTATTAAGTATATTCTATACATCATTTATTTTGAGAATATTGATGTTTATAAAACACATCATTTATATTATAAATTGTTTTGATCCAGATTTAAACTTTAAAATAATTACCTGATTGATTATCAGTAAATATAATTAAATATCCTAATCTTGGATTAATTACATAATTTTATAAAAACTCTTTCCTGTACATCACTAAAATTAAGTAAACAAAAAATAAAAAATTCGAAAACTATAGATTATAACTAACTAACTATACAAAACAACATCAGGAAGTGTGCGGTACACTTCTAGTGAACCCAATAGACTCAAAAGAAATAGCAGATATCAAAATAACTAAAAGAAC